CCGCGGTCGGGGCGGGGCCGCGGCTGGGGATGCTGTCGCGGTGCCCGCCCACGATCCCCGCTGGCGGGAGGGGCTCTGGCGCCGCGCAGGCCGGTGACCCCGTGTCCTTGGAGCAGTGTCCACCCGCGCGCAGGGCCTCGGTGCATCCGTAGGCTTGGCTGGGGTCCCGGTGTCCGGAGGTGACCGGCCGGGGGTGGGCCTCGCGGTCGGGGCGGGGCCGCGGCTGGGGATGCTGTCGCGGTGCCCGCCCACGATCCCCGCTGGCGGGAGGGGCTCTGGCGCCGCGCAGGCCGGTGACCCCGTGTCCTTGGAGCAGTGTCCACCCGCGCGCAGGGCCTCGGTGCATCCGTAGGCTTGGCTGGGGTCCCGGTGTCCGGAGGTGACCGGCCGGGGGTGGGCCTCTGGTGGTTACCCGATTGTCTACCTTGTGGGGTACCCAGAGAGTCCCCAACCTTGCCGAGGGGCTTCTGGTGTTTGGGAGGCAGGACGCTGGGGAATGGAACAGGACCCGCAGGTGCCAGGTGACGCACGGAGAGCCCAGAACAGCGAGCAGCCAGGTGTGTGCGATGCCCCAGCTGCTGCATCTGCGGCCTGGGCTCGGCCCGTTAGGAGGGTGGACGGTGTCCAAACCTCCGAGAGGAAAACAAAGGGCTTTGTAAGTATCCCTGCAGGCCAGGGGGCCAAGAGGAAACGGAGCAGGGTCGCTAACATGGCCAGGCCGAAGTCACGCCCCAGCCACCTTGGAACCAGCGCAGCACTTGGAGGACCCGCTGTGGTCCCAGTGTTCCCGACGCCTGATGCGCAGTGCAGCGGCCCTGCGCAAAAGAATTCGAGGGGTTCCTGGCTGTTGGCAAACAAGAGGGACGTGTCACACATGGCGTAGTGTGCAGGGAACTGAAGAGACCTTTTCAAATAATTTGACACTCCATCATTGTTACTTTTTCGAGCTAAGATTACAATCATAGTCACAGTGTCCTGGAAGGACCCCAGCCTGTGCCCCAACCCGGATAGTTAGACAACTCACCTCCGGGCTCAGAGCTGTCCTCCTCGGTACCAAAGTCAGAAGCAGGAGAGGCCCTTCCCGTTTCATTCATGTCTCCAAAATGAGCCAAACAATGGAAGACAAAAGATACTCAACTCCATTATAATCACAGAAATGCAAATTAACATGAGGTGCCTTCTTTTTTCACCTGTCAAGGGGGGAGTATCATGTCGGGAAACCTCCAGAGGCGGCTGCCAGCAGCGCCAATGGTACAAGCTTTGGAAGGCAAATTCGATCCATCTGCCAGTATCTATCAAATTGTACCGTGCACAGCCCCCACCAGTAAATTTACAGAAAAAAGTTTTACTCCATTTATCCATATTTACTCTATATGTATTGCTTATTTTTTCACAGTAACTAAATATTCATATATTACTTGAGTAGTTGAAAAAAATATTTTAAAAAAAGATTCTAGAACTGTAAGCTTCTGTAAATATTTTCTTAAGCATTGTAACTTTACTACTCAAAAAAAAAAAAAAATCAACTGTACCTTTTGGATTTTTCCAGACGTGATCAGTAACAAAACTTTTTAAATGAAAAGGAGCTCTGAGTTTGTCTGTGGGAGGGACCCAGGGGTGCCAGGCAAGGGGCCCTGACAGTGGTTAGGGTCGGGATGAGCCAAGGAGCTGAGCTGGATAAGCCAAACCTTACACATCAGCCAGACACCTGGAAAGCAAGACAGTGTGGCATCAGGCCCACGAGTCCCCATCCTACGTTCTCGGCGATTCACAAGGATCATAAGATAAGCAGTCACATGCTTACCAGGACCCCGAATATCTCTGAACCCACCAGGCACAAATATTACACACTGATGTAAAACCACAGGACACCTACTAGAAAATACCCAGGAGAAATGAAAGGGCTGCTGCTTCGTGGGAATGTGTGAGAACGTTAACATTTATATAGACCCCTGTTCAAACCAGGGCAACTAAGCTTAGCCCCCTGGGCCAGAAAGTCTTAAGAAACTGAAATACGAAGAGTGGATTTAATGAATCCTACCTGGGATCCCCAAACACCGCGAGCACCACGATAGAGTCAAAAGCCATAAAACGGGTTACGAAACAAAGCCAGGGGCCGGTGACAGTGCCTTCAAGGACACTGCAAACGAAACAGCGAAAGCAAGTCAATGCTTCAACGAATAACACGATCACCTTCTCTATCTCCGCGAAGAGCCCAGCCTTGCCCAGACTCGGGCTCTCTTTCCGTCTGCCATGTCCATATCCGCATTTCTGTGCTTTCAAATTTTCCAGCACAAGCTGAACTGCAAACCCAGGACGGCCTGGAAGAAGAAAGCCGGGCCTGCTCCATCACAAAGCTGAACTCCAGAGCGTTCTAAACACTTTGTGTTATTTCTAGGGGAGAGGCCTTCAGGCATTCTGGAATTCTGAGACGCACTTCTCAGGAGTTGCAGGACTTTGTTGTCATTCATTCATTCATTCATGAATTTCATAAAACGGAGTCGTGCTGGTCAAAGCTCGTAAGAGTGCACTTTGTACATTCCAGTGTCCCCAAAACACAACCCTGACACAAAAGATTAATTTCTGGACATGGCTGAAGAACTGTCCGCCTCTGAATCCTTCGATGGAGAAAACAACTAATTTGAGCCTGAATTGCGCTTATTGGCTAATAGGGCTCCTGAAAATTCACTGGTGTAGGAACTCTAACTTTTAAAACAACAATCAACTAGGTCATCCCTGTTTGAAGGCTAAACTCAGATTTTACTCTTCTGGCAAGTTTCATGTAAATGAGGGAATGGTCAGAACTTTCCAGAAGCTAAAGCTGTTTGAGGATGAAATGACCAGCTTCAGGAGAGAGCGAGTGCCTTGTGGTGGAGTAGAGGCTGGTCCGAGGGGGGAGACAGTGGAAGCTCAGTCCTCTGTGACTTTCAGTCGGTTACTCCAGTGAGGCAGGTCTCATGTCGGGGATGTTTTCCTCAAATACCCTGAGATGGCAGGCAGGCCTGCCCCACGCGCCTGGTGGTGACAGGGACCCACGCAGAAGCTGCCACACTGTCCTAGTAAAATTTGGTTTTATTACTATCAAGGGAACGCTCATTTATAACACCTGGAGGATGTGGAAAGTTCAAGATCACCATAGCCTTGAAGATCAACCCTGACATCCTGATGTGTTAAAATTTATACCCAATATCTGCTCATTATGTTTTTCTCTAACCGTAGGTACGTATTAAAATAACATTCTACACCCTTCAGATCTCAAACACCTCTTGTGTACATTCTATACGTAGTGTAGGACTAAGAACAAAACATTTATAGAACAAATATTCACTAACGAATTCTCCTAATTTAACAGTGTTGCTGTTAACATAAAATGGAAAACTGTAGCTAGGATTCTTGAGCGATTACTACCTCCCAGGCACTTGCTAGTATTTTATATACATCGTCTCATTTAGTGGAAAGGCTGCGGAGCACATGGATCCGGATTACAGTTTTAGCTCAGCTTAAACAGAAGCTGAGAGGGTCCAGCCACACTTTACTGCCGATTACCTGTGGGAGTAAGCCTGGGGCAGAGAGAAAATTCCGCTCTAGTTTAGGCAACGAACGATGACACAGATGTGTACGGGTTACATATGATATGTATAATCTAGTGCGTATGATGTATGAAGGTCTTCAAAAAATAGTTGCCGTTTTAAATTTTTTTAAAATTTGCTACTCTGTAAAATACAAAGAATTTGCACATTGCAACAGATGGAGGATTTACAACAGGTTTACATGAAGAAATATTGATTTGTTCTTATTTTGTTCTCTCATTTTTTTCTGTCGTGACCCCGCGACAACCGCAGTGGCTGCGCCCGAGTGCGCATCGTGGCGGGGCGCAAAGACGCTCGGCCCGCGGCCCTGACCCGAGGCGCCGCCTCAGCAGCGCCGACCAGCGCGCTCACGTCGAGCTTGTTTTCTGGCTTCCTACTTGTATCGTTTTCTCGAATTGAAAAGTTCCTTTTGATTTTGTCCTTGGATTCCCTGTGACTTTGGTGACTCAGTGAGTGCCGCGCTCTGCCCTGTCAGGCGAGAATGGGCCCTCGCGGGGTTCAGGGGCGACAAGATGGGGGCTCGACTTCCGCAGAGCAGCCATTTGAGACCCTGGTGTGTCACCTCTCGGAGCCCTGGTGTGTCACCCGTGACCTGAGCGCGAGTCCGCCGCACCCGGAGACCTCCCGGCAGCGCGGCAGGTGCGCGAGGTGGCGGACGCGTGGGCGCGCGGGCGGCTCAGCCGGCAAGGCCTGCGCGAGGGGGACGCGCCCGCCTGGGCCACACCCAGTGAGGCTCCAGGGCCTCGCCAACCTTCTCTGCCCGTCCCGTCCGGCCAGTGTCCCCAGGCTCGACAGGAACCCAGCCGTTCTGATCCGATGCCTCGCGCCTGCCCCGGCGGATCTGACCGGCTGGCCGCCTTCAGCAAACATCCTGTTGGGTCAGTTTGGCCAGTCGCCGGGCCCTGACATTCCGTCCGCGTGGCTTCCCGTCCCGGCCCCGCCCGCCCCTGCTCCGAGCCCAGCG